GAGGGGGGGGTGCTGCATCTAAAAGGGACGAGTGATGTGAAGAACCACGAGGGCTCCGATTACCGCTACAGCCCCACCGATTAGCCGGTGATAGGCGCATATCCAGGTGCTTTTATGCGCAGGTGCTGCAGGCTGTGGAAGAACAGAAAGTATAACGGGGTTTGATTACAGAGAGGAGGAGGAGGAGGAGGAGGATGGTGGCAGAGATGGCGAGCTGCGGAGCGGCTTGTCAGCTGGAGGACGGGTAAGACTTGTGTTGTTACTACGATGGAAACTCATGCTGCCTTTAGATGTGCGTGCAGTGTGTGCAGTGTTTGGACTACATGTTGTCTGCAGTGGACGCAGCAGCGCTAAAAAATCGCCATAAGCGTCGACACCGGAAGTGGTGCCGCGCTTCTTCTGCTGCCGTCGGTTCTGTTTGGGCTCATCTGTTTTGTGCATTTGACGTAAAACGAAGCACATTTGCAATTGTTGCTTCCTGGTTGTGGAGACGTATAACTGAACTAAAGAGACGAAGAGAAAGGAGGAAGAGAGCAATGGAGCTCTTTGTTGTTGGTCTGAGCGCCGCACGCTGCTGTGTTGTTACACTGTGATGACTCACTGACAACAATGTAACATCACGCTGTTTGGAGACCGGCTTATCCGAGCAATCTAAAGATAACATTATATACTAAACCAGTTTCAGGATTACAGGAGAGAAAAATAATGTAAGTGTATCCTCATGATACAGTGGACTACAGTACAGACAAGCACTTTAATAACACTTCCTGTTTATCGTTTTTTCATGATGGTTGATGATGCTTATCAAACACGTTTGACTCATTTAAAATAGTTTAGTTTTTAATGTATAAACTGAGGATTACCCTCATCTGATTCATACCACTTTAACAATTTACAATGTTTATATTCAGTTGTCAACCACAGGCAGGTGAGGTGATACTGATGACTCACTGTCCATTGTGACTGCTACTGTGTTGATGCCACAGTATCATTCACCTGCTGAGGGCTGGAAAGGACACTGAATGAAAGCACTATAATAACTGTAACAATTATAAACATTGTACTACAACATATAGAAATGTTTGGTGGATTTATAAATGTCTACAAGACTTTAAATTCCTGTCTGTAACATATAGGAGGACTGGAAATTGAAATATAATATTCTTAGGTATGTTTATATTGTGTCCCCCCCTCACAGACGCCGCAATGTTCTACAGTAGCCCAGAACAGACAAACCAAACACTTTTTTGTGAGTTTCACAGCCACTGTAGTTTCTCCTACATGTTTGAGAGGCTGCATTCAAATGGTTACAATCTGCAACAGCCTCACAGCGAGAAGCCCTTAAATCGTACACACTGGTCCTTTCATAGAAAACTTTATATCAGAAGCAGAACATTCACTTTTTTGTAATGTTTATGACCCACTGTAAACTTTATAGTGAAAGCAGTGAAGTATAATATTAATGACTGAAGATACCAAAGGTCAACAGTTTTTTTTGTACTGGTGTGTTATTAGTTGCAGACCAACTGACAGTTGTTTATCTGCGCACAGATGTTCTCTCTCTTCATTGTGTTTATGAGAAGTTGTAGGAAGCATGTAAATGTGGTCCTCTTTATCTCTCAGCCAGACACAGACCAACACCCTCACTCAGGATTTTTGTTATCATGTTTTGTAGTTGGGAGATTAAAAACAAGTGAGAGCAGTCAGACACGGTCTGAGAACTCATGCACAGAGTTTTTATTTATGGTCTGAAAGCAACCCTTTTCTCAAAGGAAGAACTGGTTACCGTGGCAACTAATGAGCCTCAGTGTTGTTGTGGTGTGACTATCTGGCACAAACCGCGTACGGGTTGACCTTGAACAGAAGAAAACTGTGTTTCCTGGACAGATGTTTGAAAACAAAGGAAGCCACGGTGCCTTATCGGGATTAACAGAAGGCAAAATAAAAAGACCACAATTTGGTCAGACTTAATAATCCTCATTTCCTGATGCATCATTTTACTTTTGATCTCCCGGTTGTACATTTTTTGTAAAAGACGCAGGGCCGGATATGACCTACTTATTGACGCCTGCTGGCGCTGAACTCGTTCTTCTTGTGAGGTTGGCTTTCTGTCTTCTTCCCCCCCTGACATATCTCAGGCGTGTTCCCTCTTGTTGAAGCTCAGACAGCGTCAACAGGTTACTCCAGTCAGACACGGCAGCGAAACTATTATAACACAACTTATAACACTTTGCTTATTTGATATACTACATTCCTGGATAGTAAAGCACATATCAAATGAGTTAGACAGCTGAATATTAAGGTATTGATGTCTGCCGTGGATGCCAGGGTTGAAATGAATGTCACATTATTGATAAGAATTTCTTTTTCATACTGATATGTATCATAATATGCTAAGATGTATGTAAAATCACACACAAAATGATCAATTAGTCATTGTGTTTTTAATTACAATGCGGTTGGAATCAATAATGCAGATACACCAGTTTTGTGAAATGATAACACCATATGATCATATCATCATAATATGGTATGAAAGTAAATAAATTATTAAATGTGAATTGTTAAGCCCCACTGCTGTCTGAGCCTTAGTTATGAAAGTGTAAATCGGACCAGTTTTGTTTAATGGCAAAAGTACCCAGCCAGTATCTTTCCATGGCTGCCTTCCTGTACCATCAGTGCTGCTCTGAAAGTGGGTCAGTCAGAGCGGGAGCGTTTGGGTTGGAAGGTGAACCTATCATTCGACAGGATGGGTTGGTGTCATAGTGTGTGAAAGTGAGATGTAAGCACTTGTACACATTTCCTGTTTTTCTAATTCACTCGACTGAGAAAGCAGTAAAAAAAAAAGCAGAAGTGGTGTACTAGAAGAGCCCTGCAGCTGCACAATTTAAAGAGCCATCACTTCCAACCTCTAAATTCTTCTGTAATTGTCATTACACATCCCAGATGTCCCTCATGTGACTTCTGGTGAATTCTGTATAGTTTAAAGTTGTCTGAATGTTATCTCCTCTGCCCTACAGAGACAGAGATATCCCTGCGCCTGAAAACAAAGGTAAACATCAACCCATTTTCATTCCTTCCTTCCCTCCCCCTCACTGTTGGCTTCACTTTCTCACAGAGCACATGTCAGGCTATATGCATCTGTGTTGTTTTTCTTATACAATTATTGTGGTATGAGCCTCCTCTGGATCCGTTTTAATATTTTAAAGCGGTGCATCCCCATGTACTATTTGTTCCTACTTTAGTTTTTCTCTCCACCTTTCTCTTCTCACTGTTTGGCCTCCATGATTTTCATATCATTTGCCTTTTTGGGCAGTAAGGTTTATGCACAGTCACACGATCACTTGTGTCCCCATTGTCCCCAACTGGCGCTGATTAGGAATGCAGTGACCTTTTCTCTCCTGGTACTGATCAGCTCAAAGTACTGCAAATAGGGATTGCCTATCAAATCCTTATTTTCCCCAAATTTAAAACCTGTATACCACACTGTGTGGAACTCATTGAGATTTTTATGCAAGGTAACACTAACCAGGAGATAGAGGAGGTGTTGCTAAGAACCATGTTGGTGGTCTGGCGTAACTTTGGACAATGACTTTGACCAAAAAACTGTACTTATTGTGCATTGGGCCACAAGCCAAAAAGGTTCAGAACCACTGCTGTGCATCAACCTTTTTATGCCCTTGGTTTTGCTATTTATTTTGACACCAGCAGATGGCAGGCAACACACATGAAACTATCCAGCGCTGTGAAGCTGTAAACAAATGTGCCTGTGTATGCATGTGCATGTGTGTATCTGTGCGAGTGTTTGCTCTCTGCCTTGTTTGTCAGTCTGATGAAGGGAGGCGCCCGTGCCAGGGCGAAGAGGGATGCCTGCTGGCTCAGATGAGGCAGCACCACGAGTAGTAGCTGAGAAAGAGATTGGCCATAGGAGGCATATGAGGACGAGGAGAGAGAGAGGGTGCAGAGAGAGGTGATGCAGACAGATCGAGGGAAGTGGAGGAGAGAGATTGATGAGGGAGGTGCTGTGAGCGGAGCAGCAATGGCAGCATCTGCTTGTTAGTCTAAGATAAAACTCTGTGGGCCAGGGAGGATGGGCTCCATCCATTAGACGGCCAGGCACTCAGCCAGATGGCCCAGTCCACGGACATCCACCACTGCTGGGAAGAGAGGAGAAGCAGCTCCTCTGGACCCATCTGTATAAATGTGCCAGAATGTTAATGCATGGCACTTATCACAGGCTTCTTCACAGGGTGCCAGTTCAGCTGCTGAGGAATGATGGACATGTAAAAGCTGGTCATGTAACATGTTGAGGGATTTTTTGATGAGTAATATGAATGATCTTAAAAATACACACAAACATATAAGTAAAGTAAAAGCTAAGGCCTCTCACCGGGGCTGCACCTGTTAGAGGAAGAACCCCTGTGATTAAAGGTAAAACTCAGTGCTAGATGCTCTATTATTAGTTTCCTTATGTAAGGAAAGTTTTAAACAGATGAAATGAGTAGCAAAAGAGCGTGTGGCTACACCTGAGGTTTTCACTCCATTAAATAGGCTGTGGTGCGTGAGAAGGTAAAGAAGCAAAGTGAGTGTAAATATTTCCAGCACGTATGCTTTTCACCCCTACACAGTAACATATTAGTTCTTAGAAAATAACTAATAATAGATACAAGCTTTATTGTTTGGTGGTGTTTCTACTGCAGAGTTAGGGTTTCTGTTTCAGCTGATTATAACATGAGATACTCACATAGTTTCACTCTTCCTGAAGCCTCTGGTGGTCATGTGTTAACTGCTTGGCAATGGGTTGATAATGCCATCAAACTTTTAAAAGTGTGTGATGAAATTCCTGTAAATGTGACGATGATGGTATGGTTAACAAAACATATTAATAATGATGTAGTAATAGTAATGAGTAATAAAATGGAAATTTACAAGGACACATTTTGACATTATTGCAACAGATCCAGCAGCATTAACCACAAAACTATTCCTAATGTCTTACAGATAATCTGACAGAAAGTGACAACAGTAGTTCAGGTAAGGACAAATATCAGTGAACTCATTTGTTTTTGTTCCACATTAATTATACAGAAACTTGGTCATCTACAGAATATCTTATTTGTTATGACATGTAATTCCTTTTTTTTTTTTTTACAATACAAATATAAATATTTTCTCATGAATCCCTTTTACTCATCATTCCCTGGAAATTCAGTGCAAAGTTTTCAGCTCTCTGTTTCATATTAATTTATCAAACAGAGAACACAGGAACATCCACTGACGACAGTTCAGAGGAGGAAGAGGAGGATGAGGATTCTGGTGAGAGAGGCTTCATCACAGCACATACCTTAAAGGAATAGTTTGACATTTTGTGAAATTTGCTTATTTGAATAGTTAGATGGGATTATTGATACCACTCTCATGTCTGTATGTTAAATATGAAGCTATAACCAGGAGATGGTTAGCTTAGCTTAGCATAAAAACTGGAAACAGTGGGAAGAAAGCTAGCCTGGCACTGTCCAGGGGTAGGAAAAATCTGCCTACCAGCACCTCTAAAGCTCACTAATTAACACATTATATCTTATTTGTTTAATCTGTACAAAAAACTGAATGGGGGCAACATTTTGTTCCAGTCGACAAGCCAGGCTAAGCTGTTTCCCCCTGTTTCAGTCTTATGCTAAGCTAAGCTAAATGTCTTGCTGGTGGTGGCTCCATAATACTGTATAAATATGAGAGTTGTAAAATTGGTCTTCTCATCCAACACGGCAAGAAAGCAAATATTAATTTCTCTTGTTTCTCACCCTCCCTTCTTTCCCCGTTAACCAAAAGGCTGTGCTGAGAAGGATGGAGGAGAGGAAGGTAAGAACTAGCATCCTATTGTCCATCCCAGAAAATCTTTGTAATTCAAGTATTTAACAAGATAAGGAAAGGACGGTGCAAGAACGGTTAACCAAGTTTATCTCCTTCATGTGCTTTGCAGACAACGAAGAGGCCGATGCAGAGGAGTTTAAAAATGGTGCGACACTTGAAACAACAAAGAATATCGATACCTGCCTTGTCAGACGAAGCAACTGGTCTGCTTTTTGAAACGTGTCTTGTTTGTTGCTTACATCCAGACGGACATGTCAGCTTGTTGTCATGGTTACCATGGCTTTAGTGGCCACAACCACATCTTAATGGCAGCCATACTACATAATTATGCCACAAAATGTTGGACTCTGCTGGGCTTTTTTAGGACACAGAATTTGATTGTAATTGAGCGTACTCCACCCTCACTCACAACCGAAAAAAAACAGGCCCTTAATCTCAAGTTTGTCTAGGGAGTCTGCCAGAGGCTGAGCACAGGATTTCAGCCTCTGACATGTGATTTTCATATGATAATATTGGACTTGAATTGTTTTTCCCTCTAGAGTCAGTCCCTGGATCTGTAGCAGATGTTTCAAATGGGAAAGGTAAGACAACGATAACTGATGTTATGTCACAACCAATGTTCTGGAGATTGTGTCACCTGTCTTGTAGATAACAGTTTTTTTTTGGTCATATACACCCTGACAGATGAGAACCGCTTCAAATCATGCTGTGAAAAATGCAAAGCCATCCAGCAGGTGGGCCCAGAAACCAGATGTTTATCTGACAAAATGTGGTGATTTCTGATGTGTTTTCTGCCAGTTGTTTTTAATTATACTTGACTGTATTTGATATTCTTACATTTACTTTTTTACGATGATGTTATAATTGTTTGTTCGACAGAGCCATGGCAGTGAACTCGTTACTCCCAGGAGGATCACTAAGGGACGATATCAGTGAGTACGACTATCTTTGCACATTTATATTGATTCTGCATGTACAGGATCACTCACTCTGTGTGTGTGTGTGTGTGTGTGTTGTAGGGTGCAGCTGGAAGATGAGGGCACATACGAGTGTTCGGTCACCGGTCTTGTGTTTGAAGCATCGGAGCGGGTTCTCGTGCGGTACTCGGTCTTGTCATGGTCTAAGTTTGGTTCATTCCTTCGGGACTCTTGGAAATTCGCTGGACCCATCTTTAACGTGGACACAGTCAATAAGGAGCCATCTGTCCTCAAGTCCATCCAGTTCCCTCACTCCGTCTGCCTTGCCGGTGAGAATTCATAATTATGATCTCGGCATCCTGTGTCGACTCTGTGGCCCATAAGGCTGTGAACATTAAATAATTAAGTTGATGTCTGTAAAAGTAAGGTACAATTTCCTAACTATTAATTAAGATTATGATCCATCTGTGTAACATAATCTATCGTTTGAAGCCGCTCTAGGTGTAACATAAAACCTTTTTTTTTCCCCCCATAATCTTCACACAGATGCAGAAAATGAGATGACCTTCAGCGTCCTGCACATAAAGGACAACCGTCCGCTCATCGAGCCGACAGTGGACCACTCAGGAAGCCACGTCAAGTGGAATGTGACGTCCCTGTCACCTGTGGGTCCCATTATCCAGACGAGCCAGTCTGTAGAGCACCACGGTGTGGTCCTGATCTACAAGCAGCTGGGCAGTGACAACGACAACAACTACAGCTTCCATGTCTACCTGGCCACCAACAGCGCATCTGACATCAGTGTAAGCGTTGGTAAATGCTGTCTGCGTGTTGTTGTTGGAAACCAGGCCACGGTTATGACCTAAATGATAAACCCTCAGACTAAACACTAAAGCATTTGACCGGTTACACATTAAAATAAAACCTCACATAAAGAGCACAAAAAAGTTTACATTATTTTAAGGTGGTGTATTTTAGACTGTTTTTTGTCCCTGTTCCTCTTTTTACATCTTATTTATTAGATTAAATCATTTTATATAGCTGGATGAACTAAAATAACCATGAATTTATAACATAACATAACAGATAAATATCTCTTTAAAACATGTTACTGAGACAGGTGGACTGATAAAAACATGTAAAATTTCTCTGATTACCATGTCTTAGGCATACGGAAATAAAACCTTTAATGATCCACTTTTAAAAGAATGACAACCTTCTCATGACATTTCACTTTAAAGCCCTTCTTGTGTTTTAATTGAGGAATTTTTCTCATGACGTACAGGCAAAAAAAAAAAACCCTTCCCTCCACGGGACCAGGAAATATTCCATTCATGAGACAGTTCAGATCACCTGAGTCTCCCTAATTTTTTCCATAAATGACTTTAAACTGTTTACCTGAAGAAAAAAAATCCAGCAAAATGCCTAGAAAACCTATTAATGACTTAAAATAACAGAATTGGAGCCAAAACGTAACTTTCACTTCTTGTTCATGTTTGAAAATGCTCTGATGCTGTGAGACTTGACACTAGATTTCCAGGTTTGTGCAATACACTGAAATAACGATCTGACAGAAAGTTGTTGTGATGACGTTGTATAGCCATGCAAAAATACAGTGATATTCTTAATCATGGTTTATAGTGTCTGGTTAAGTGATCATTGACTTGTGTTAGTCACACAGAGATTTCCACATTTAAATCGGTTAAAAGACAGTGGTCATAAAAAAGTTGAGATTAAGGGAAGCATTAACATTAAGGGAAGCTGTTGCAACCAAATCTTTCTTATTTACATTTTAAATCAACAAAACGCCTACTAGTGACCTAATCAAACACCCACTGATATACATATATATTACAGTAATTGTATGCCCTTGCACAGTAAATGTGTTTTTTTTTTAAAATAACCTTCATTGTCAAAATGTCCGTGGTATGTATCATATAGGTATCGACAATGGTGTGTGTATTACTGTAAGAGCACCACGTAATTCTGACAGCTACATGACAATAATGTTGAGTCATATTCTAGCAGTGTGCTGCTAAGGAAATGTGTTTGTGTTTGTGTGTGCTTGTGTGTTTGAGCGCATGCAAGTGGTGAATAATCATACTACACGTATTATAACATGGAAAATTGTAGTAATTTGTGTTCCCACCTGATGTATTTTTATTTTTTTCCACTATGTATCTCATGTTGCTCTGTCTACCAATCACTGCCCAGAGTTGACCAGAGTTGATCAGAGTTTGAGACTCCTTCAGTTTTTCCACTCCCTGTCTGTGGAAAATGTGTTTTATTGAATGTTAATCAGCCCACTCATCATCTTGTCTTCCTTGTTTGAACCAGGATATAGCCAAACAGGTACGAGCCTACAAGAAACGTTACATTCAGATAGAGAAGCCTCCCACGTGTGCGCTGGATGAGGGGACGTATCGTCTTATGAGTGAGCCGGAGGGAGATATCAAACCTCAGGTGTGTCTTTTTGCATATGTCTGTGTGTGTGTGTCTGCTCACATCAAATCATTTATATTTGTACTGAAAACACTGAAACATACAGTACAATACAGTATGTTGAGACTGTCACATGCATCATCATAAAGTTTACATTTGTTATGCACTGACAACACAGTTGAATTATTTTTAATTATGTTTATGTGTCTCTGTGCAGGAATTGAAATTCACCCTAGCGGTCACTAAGATGAAAGGCTACTTTGAAGCTTTCTTCGAGCAGCCACCTCCCTTTAAATTGTCTCTCATAGAGACTGAAACAGATGAGACTGTATGGTCGGCCACCATCAGAGAAGGTAACAGTGTGTTAAGTCTTACACTGAGCATGGTTGGTGATTTGCAGGTGAAAAAGACTAAAATATATATATTTTAGTATATATTTGTTTAAAATGTCAAACATTTTTCTGTGTTCATTGGACAGCTGGCAGTAGTTATATAGTTAGGTTTCACATAAATATTAGGATCCACACATAATATAAAGCTAAAAAAAATATTATTTTAACAGGAATCTTTTTATCTGCCAATTTAGAGTTCACTGGGTGTTTTACATTTTGTGTGCATGAGTGTCATTTCAACTCCAGACGGAGATGACTATCTTGTTTTTCTCTCTTTTTTAGGTGACTGTGTGAATAACACAGAAAAGAAGCCAAGGAAAAGGACGCACAGTAAGCTATTGCTTTTTAATCCGATTCTTCCATCGCAATATGCTTTCAGCTTCTACAGGTTGACTCACATTGTATCTCTCTCTCTCTCTCATAGGTAGACAGAGGAGCAGCAGTCCCTCAGAAGAAGAAACGTCCTCTAAAAGACCTCGATGGCAGGACGAGTCAGGTGACTTTCCATGTCTTTTGCTAATTAATTTGAAAGGAACTTCAGGCGCAACTTTGTTTTGCAATCAAGTCAACAGAAACCAGTCCACACCTGAACTATTTCCAGATGCACCTGTCTGTCTAAAATTATATTGAAATTAAGTACCTGCATGTGTTTTCCAGATGGAGTGAAAACAGTGATGACTCAGGGCCAGGACATGTCAGAGAAGCAGCTACTGCAGGTGGCCAAGCGGCTCGGGAGGGAGTGGAAGCAGGTGGCCATCTTTCTAGACTTGAACTCCAAGGAGCTGGATGACATCCAGGCAGCAGAGAAAGATGTGACGATGCAGAAGCTGAAGATGCTGGTGGTGTGGAAGAGCAGAAGGCGGCCAGGAGAGGCTACGGCGTACCACCTGTGGAAAAGTGTGGAGGAGCTGGATGACTTGCCAAATGAGGTCCATCAGACACTGCAAGGTAATAAACTGCAGACATATACTGTACATATAAACACATCTAATAGATATGAGAATGACTGATGGACATTGGAGCAAAATCAAATGACAATTAGCCAACATTGATTATTCCAGCCCTAAAAAATCTAACAAGACTAAGTCTACAGACATACTAACAGCACTGTGAGGCTGTATTTATGCACAGTGGTGCTTTGAGCTAAATGCTAATGTCAGCATTGCTAATATGCTCATAGTCACAATGATAACATGCTGTTGTAACTAATAGGAGGTGTAATGTTTACCATGTTCACCATCTGAGTTTGTCAGCGTGCTAACATGCTGACAAACTCTGGTTTGTCAGCATGTTACTGGTCTGTGGCCACCATAAGCAACGAACTGTAATGCACTGTGAGTTCTGACACCTTTCTATCAGAACCAGCATTAACTTTTTTAGCAGTTTGAGCTGCAGTAGCTCGTCTTTTGCATCGGACCACACAGGCCAGCCTTCGCTCCCCGGAACTCTCCGGTTCTTTTCCTTCCTTGGACCACTTTTGATAGGTGCTGACCTCTGCAGACCGGGAACACCCCACAAGAGCTGCAGTTTTGGAGATGCTCTGACCCAGTCGTCTAGCCATCTCACTTTGTCCTTGTCAAAGTCACTCAAATCCTCACGCTGCCCATTTTTCCTGCTTCTAACACATCAACTTTAGGACAAAATGTTCACCTGCTGCTTAATATATCCCCCCCAGATTGAATCACTAGTATTGCAGCATTTTAGCAGATCAGTTACGGAAATGTCCAAGTTCCAGGAGATAATCAAGCAGGACCCTGATCTGTAGTATATTGTCCTGGATTGGGGCTAATTCATAACTTACTTCTTTTGGATTTTCAGTATGTATTAAACTAAACAAGCTTTTGGTTTGATGAGAATAAAATCAATAGATTCATCATAGTTTTAATAAACACGTACACAATGGGCTGAATTTTTTGTTGTGTCTTTTTTTTCAGACATGATGGACAATCGAGCAGCTAAGTGAAAGAGATTCGACTTAAATTGACTGTCGGATTATCTGTTGATCCATCATCAATCTCAGGAATACAACAAAGCAGAGTCGACCTACGGACCAAACATTTGCTTTTCTCTCAGTTTCTGTTCCTTTTTTTATATATTTTCTGGACATGAAACCAATTGATGGGTGTTTGTATATCGCCGCATTTCATGAAAAGAGCCACCGTCTTAACTTTGGATGGGCATTGTCCCTAAATTTGTTCATATTTAGTCATTTCATTCTGTAGTTGATACAGCATAGACGAGCTGTACCTAAAGCTTTGTGTAGCCATAGATGCTTAGCATTATCAGGTTCATAAATGGCCAGTAGAGGTAGAGGTCATTAAGATATTTAGTAGCTAATTATGTAGCCAGTAACCGAGGTAAATGTAGGTGCTGCAGTGTTGAAACTGCAAAAAATGGGAAAAATCTAACCTGTGTATCTTGTTTGACTTTTTAATGTTATGTTTGTGGGACTTTTATAAAATAATTAGGCATTGCATCACATGCACATTCCACTGTCCAAAGTCTTACAGACTGAATTTGATTTTTATACGTGCGCACACTATGTCGTGTACATGTGTTTTTTTTTTACTAACTTCTTCAAACCTGTGATCTGTTTTTTTAAAGTCTGTTTATGCCTGTCTTTTGTGTTGTATTTGACATCTCAGAACCTGAAAAACTAAACTGAGTTGTATGTTTGTTTTGGTTAACTTGAATTATGAATTCATTCCTGCCCTGCTGTGACTGGATGAAGTATGAATGTGTGTGTTACAAAAGGGTACACTGTGGGAAAAAAACTAAACACGAGCATTTTGATTCAGGACTGAATTATTCTAATTGTGTGAGTGCAGCTACAGTCTGGCAACATTCATATATATTTTTTTCAAGGCTTATATTATAGCTGTAGAGAACGCTTTGAAAAGAAAGATTTGAAAAACAAACTATACTGTAAATGGTAAATGGACTGTACTTATATAGCACCTTTCTTCTTTCGACCACTCAATGTGCTGTACACTACATGCCACACTCACCCCACATTCATAAAACTGCCATGCAAGGCGCCAACTGCTCACCAGAACGGAAACTAATCATTCACACACTCACACACTCATACATCGACGCACAGCAGTTCAATTGGGGTTTAGCGTCTTGGTCAAGGACACTTTGACATGCAGCTAGAGCCGGGGATCGAATTCCGATTAGTGGACGACCCGCTCTACCTCTGAGCCACTGCCTGTGGTAACATTTCAGTTAAATTTTCTCAACATTAGTCGCAGCTTTGTTTCTGTTGTACCTATTTCCATGTTTCCAGGCTCAACACTTTTTGGGAAAAGCTGCAGAAATCCCATCTGGAATGTCAAATGTTTTAGGGGTCTTCCACAGTGATGTTATGCAGTAATGTTTACATTCAGAGAGCAGGGTTGCTTCCTTAAACAATTTACTACCGACAATCCAGTCCGTCCTTTTTGCACTTGTGTCTATATCATGTCGGAGTCCCTCCAAAGAATTGTGGAATAATTAAAGCTGCACATGTTGAGTAAATAAAACAAAGAAAAAAAGGCCTCATTTATGGTTCTTTTAACCTACTTTATTCCACAGCTGTTTGTATCATTTGCACCCAGTTTCATTCATATATCACTTCCACTTTCCGCAATTGATTGCAAAAATTATTTTATTATAAATAACAACAAATAACACCACAGGGCATCAAATAAATAAATAAATAGATGTAATAAATAGATCTTGAATAAATAGATCTTAAATAAATAGATCTTAAATAAATAGATCTTAAATAAATAGATACATTCACCCAAATACTGTAATACAGTCATACATTTAGAAGGGCCAACATGACCTTAGCAATAGTTGTCGTTCAGCTCTTACTTGGTGAAGAGGCTAGCTTATGCCTAAGCAGTAGTCATGCAGACAGTTGTGCAGCATGTGCTACTTGGACAGTAGTTTTAAATGGTGGTAGTGAATGATCATGAAGGCTTATTCAGTTGTAATAAGTTAAAGAAGTAAAGATATTGTGGTATTAATTGGAATGATAGCGATGATGATGATGAGGCTGCAGGCTGTTTACATCCTGTGCTCTCCTGAGGAGATGTAGCCCATGGCTCTGTTGATGGTGATGGCTCGGACATAGAAGCCTCTCATCATCTTACACATCTCCTGCCTGTTATTGAAGGTGTCATTTCCCCACATCTGGGCAACGTCCCCCTGGACGACAACGGAAAAAGAAACAGCATGAAGACACAATAATCACCTGCCAGTTTCACACAAAAAAACCACCCTAACTTCCCTGTGCGTCTTTCGTATCAGTTTCCATCTTAAAGACCAACAGATGAGGTGCAAATAGGGAACAAACAAAAAAGAAGGAATAGAAAAATACCTCTGAGGAATCTCTCTCTCCATTTGGCATCAGGCAGCAGTCCTGTATAAACCAGAGATGTCGTCAGGCAACTTTCAAATGTTATTTCCCAGGAGATTCTCTCTCACTGTCTTGTTTCACTTTATGTGTGTTTTTGTTTTTTGTTTTACCCCTCCCACACATGCATAATAAACATACCTCCCTCAGGCTCTGGATAATTTTTAGAGTTGGCCTCAGAAGTGGAATTTCTTCCTCTGGACTTCTGAGTGAGGAGTTGATGTAGGACTCAAAAGCAGCAGCATAGTGGGCCAAGTCCTTCATGATATTCCTCCGACATTCAAGCTGGCGAGACAAACAAGAAAAATGACCCATCAGTCATCTGTATCTGCATATGTCCATTGTAAAAAATGAGAAATTATTGATTGATGATATAATGGGTGAAATGCCCTCATTCTGATGTGTAGAATAGATTAACAAATGTAAAGCATTATTCAAATAACACAGACAATGGATTCATAGTTTGTAATAACATACAGTGTGTCTGATAATCCTATAAAAAAACATTTAATAAGAAATAAAGAAATAATAAAAGCATACCTCACTGAAGGGTGAATTTCGTTGCATCATGCAACCTGAGCTCTGTGGGGTAAAAAAAAAAATGAAAACATGAGCAATTTGTTTTTTTAATTAATATTTAAGTCGGGAGATCTTAAGCATTTATGGACACTTGATCCATAGTTAGACAGAGTAAACCTTAGTGAAAACTAAGCTGAAATTATGAGCCTTGAGGCTGTTTCCATAAATATGTCCAAAAACTATTTTGTAAAAATATGCACAATACATGTGGATTTATATGTTCTTTATACATTAAGTAAAGAGAATTTAGAGTTTAGCTCAAAGGTTCACTTTTAAGAATAACTTCATAATTCATAACGTATAGCACAGATAAATCAAGTATCACCTGAGTGGGTGCGCAGGCCAGTACTGTGTCAGCTTTACTCTTCACCACTGCTCTATCAGAGGAGATGCCGAAGCACAAAACAGCCTGGAACACAACATATGAATCATAAATAAACTACTGTACATTGATGTCTGTAAGTAAAAAGACAGAAAGAAAAAAACAACAACAACACAGCATTACAATATTAACATGCGATGATTAATTGTACTCACGCTGTTGTTTTTGTTGAGGAGATCTTTGACATTTAACAGGAGGCTGTTGAAGAGAGACGAGCAGTGTTCGCATTGATCTTCGCTCAGGGTGCACACCGGGAGTCCTGTGGATGTGCGCCAGCTCAGGGTCAGCAGCAGCACACAGCTGGCGAAGTCTGCATGGTAAGAAGAATAAACAGCATCAACACAAGCGTCTACACCGGTGCTCAACAATACAACAGCAGCCTACGGTATCTTATACATCAGCCTGTGTTTCGGGCTCGCTGACTTACAGAAATTAAAGATTGCCATCTTTCCGATCAGATAAGATATGTCTGGTTGAGCGTGGTAACACTGTGTGGCTGCCTTCTTATCTCTGAGGGATTTATAGGCCTGTGCTCGGGGGATTCCCCATGTATTAAGGAGACGAAAAAAAAAAAAAAACATTACAAGGCCTTTGTAGTTCCCGTTTTGAGCTTCCAGCACACATTCAAGTCAAAACAAAAAGTCAATGTGAAGGAAATGTATTTTCATGTTTGTTTCTCTTTATAACGCCACATGGGTGCACTCTAACAATTGAAATCTTATTTTCCCATTCGTGCAAATACACTATTGTTAAACATGACTGACTCGGGTTGGTGGGGATTTGCAAGAAGCAGCCGTGAGATGCAAACACCACCGACATGAATGATAACTATATGATGATAAACATCTGGCTGACCACACTGTGTGTCTGGGACCTTCAGTCAGCAGCTGAGGGGCTGTTCTCTGCAGAATACACCAAATAAAATGGGATTTATAAAGAGATTCCATGCCAGTAGGTTTTGCAATGACATTTGAACGTTTAAACAAATGGACATAATGTGCATGTCATGTTAAATTAGAGCAGTACCATAAGGATTACATCAGCGTGGTGATACAGTGGAAACTTTGCTTTTTTACTTCACGCAACAGCCCCATGTGAGGACATAATGACCACAAAGCTGGTTAGAGGAGTCATTCCTACTTTCTCTAATGAGGATCACTGAAGCCAAATGAATAAGAATTAAATTAAGCTACACCCGGGGTTGTGACGGTAAATGAAAAGGGCGGGCAAACCCAGCAGGCTGCGCTGCGTTATGGGAACCTGCCTTACTCACTGGCGGTGTTTAATGCCGCACCTTTGACACAGTCACTGTCCTGTCTCCACGCTGTTTGACCCACGGAGTCAAGTCCAGTCAATCTGGTCACGTCAATGGAGAAGAGGGTTCGTTCGGGGTTTCCCTCTGCCTCGCACGGGTGGGCGGTGGATTAATAACTGCTCTTTTCTCACGCAAAGATACTCAAGAAAATGAGCAAAAAGTCCTGGAGAACAAGTGCAGTTCTTAGTCTCGTTCGTACGTTATTCTTCTATTCCACAACATTTCAGAGGGAAACGTTGTACTTTTCCACAACCTTTATTTGACAGCTCCTTTCCTCATTAAGATTTTACATGTAACATATAAAATCATCATTTAAAATGATGCAATATTATAGATTAAAGTGCCCAGTAGTATGTAAAATAGTTTAAACTAGCTCAAATGTAAATTTCATCTACACTTCCATGACAAATTAATTTGCTGAGGAAGATTGTGTCATATGATTAAAAGCTCCACAACAGCTACTATGGGCAATGCACCGGTTTTTTTTTTTCAGCTGGTCCAAACTGTCAACGGTTTGTTGAACAATATCTGAGAAGTGCACACGACTCAAAAAGAGAATGTGAAATTTTCATCAGCACATGAATTATGACTTCATCCTCTGCTTACAGCCTCATTCTCAGGACCTGTGTGTGTTGTGTTTAACAAACCTTTGAAAGGATGTGCACTCTGTGAAACTTCAGTGGTCAGTGAGTGGCTGACAGGAGTTTTCTGGCCTTTCTCTGGCTATTAGAGTGAAACCACTGAATTACTTTTTAAACACACTATAATCATAGAGATAACCCACCAGGTGGAGGGGGGGGGGACTTCCTCAAAGACATTTGTACGTGAAAAATAACACTGTATTCATTACTAAACCCTCCAGTCATTTAGAGTCATGTCTGTACATTTACACCTTGGCCATTCATTATTAAGTCCACAAGTGTCATTTTTTTATATGAAAGAAAAATTCCTAATTGTGACTTTAAAGGGGTTCTCCAAATTAATGCAGTCCCTTTAAGAGCAGTAAGCCAACCACTGATGAGAGAATGAGAGACAGTGTCGAGATGACGTAAGACAAGAAACACAGAGGGTGTTGAGTCATACTGTGGTTAAAAATTGTCACAGGTCAATGTTTACACTTACTATGTTCATTAGAAAGAGGAATTTGAAAGAGCTTTTAAGAGTTTCATCTCGCTGATTTGCAGCAGCACAAATCCAACATACTTGCACAAGAAACCAACATATATGAAACAAAGTTTATTCTTTATTTTACATATCTGTACATAAACATTTCTTCCCTCAAATAAAGTTTCTGATTACAATAGGATGAAAACGATATTAACACACTTATTCATTTAAAATGACTCGTGTCAGAAAATCAACATTCACAAAATGTTGAAGAGCAATTAGAGTGAACGTATTACCAAAAGCTACGACTCCACTACAAGGCAGGCATGTTTCCTTTACACTCTTTTAGCACCTTCAAATAAACATTTCTCAGTTGAAAACTACCATTTGTGCAGAATAAGAACAGGTCGACTTTGAAATACTTTAAAATTACTGTCCAACTTAAAATGGTCTGAAGAAGTTAGTTTCCATCTGTTTTTTTTTTATACAATGTTGTTTCTTTTTTCTCATGACTGACTTTCTACTAAATTTTTCACTATTATTTTATTTTTTTCCCACAATTTTTGCATTTGACAGTTATAATTTAGTGGCGAATGTAGAAAGTTAAAAAGAAACAATTGCAAAGCAAGGCCGATCACTGCACAGGAAGCTGGGGACAGAATCCATGACAACACACAATCAGTTCCCTCTTCTCCCAGAAGGCAGGAAGTGCTCCTCCGTCCTTAGCACTGGGAGAAAACCACAGAAGCAAATGAAAGAGGGTGTCCTTCTTCTGTGCTGCTGCTACCACGGGAGTCAATTAGACAGGAAGGTAGACATGGGGAGACGGGGGGAATCGGTGAGGAGCAAAATACTTGGGACAAGCGGGGCAGGATTTGGATCGACACGGGGCAGAGGTGGAATGGCTGAAGGGGAAACGTCTGGTTTGGAGCAGGAGCTTAGCTTGGCACAGGGGAGAAGGGTGGAGCAGGGATGGGCATCTTATTTGGATAGGGTCCTCTCAGCCAAATGTTTCTGCTGGCTCTCAGCATGCCTGGAAAAGAGAGAAAAGGAAAATACAGTCACTTAATGCAGTGCTTCTCAAATGGGGGCACTTAAAACTGCGTAATTTCTAAAATATAGTTCAGTAAAAATGGAAATGTAAGTTCGATAAACCACATGTTACATTAAATATTCCTATTTCTAATGCAATCGCTTTTCTGCAGTAAAAAGAGTTTGATGAGTGCAGTTTCCTCCCTGCCACAGACAACGCTCCTCAGTGACGCTCATGTTTCTTACTAAGTCTTAGTGTTACTGCATGATGACAAAAAATTGGTTTTCCATAAATTTAGTAATACATTTGACATGAAGCATGTGTGTTGTTCTGAGATACTGGGCACAGCACTGTATTGTATGTTTTTGAAGTGTTTTTTATTTTTAGCGCTGGTCTGGTAAAATATTTTAAAGGGGGTACATTAATGAAAAAGGTTTGAGATTCACTGACCTATAGGGTAAGTCTGGTGATACATTGAACTGACCCTACTAACAAGTATTGTGTGTGTTGCTGAAGCTTAGTGTGGCTTATTTCTTTGTGACCTTTATTCTTGTCCAAAAACTATAAAACAAAACACACAAGTTAGCCAAACTGTTGTATTAGGTCACATGTTCCTTTATTACCATGAACCTATATACATTATTTTGACTCAATCCCAATCCCAATGTCCTGCTGCCCTGAGTGTTCATGCGTGCACTAAATCTGCGGCTGAAAATAGTCCCTGACAACAGCAGTGTTTACTCCAGTTTGCTTGCTAAAGGGGAACTCCGCTGATTATTGTTGATTTTAAACACCAAAGTCTGTTTACAGATCTAGAGGAGTACTGCTGAATATGTGAGAAAAGTTGTACAAAGCTTTTTGTGTCTCCTGATCTAAAATTTCCTCATGTGATGTCAGTTAGAAAGAAGTGAGCTTACTGGACCTCTGTAGCCTGCTCCTCATTTCTCAGCTCAGGGCTACATTAGTTGCTAATAGCATAGCACACCTGAATCTCTGAATGTTGGCGGTCGAGTTGCATTTTGGGTAATGTAGGTGTAAGGTTTTGACAAGAAAGAAAAATGTGTGGAATAAAAAAAAGACTGTTTCTGCTGCATCAGTGTTTCATGTTTTTTCTTTTAACTGCAGCTAAATCGGTGGAGTTTTAAAAACTATGGTGTTCAGCTCTTTTAGGATATCTTTTTAAATAAATCAAAATTTATATTTGGCATTTTTTTCTAAATTTTTGCATTTCAGTAAGAACAAACAGAGACACAGTCAAGATAGGAAAGTCAGGAGTGTTGTAGTTGGTCTTTTATGAGATTTGCTTGACAATAACAAAAACAGAGATTACTTCCTTTCCTATTTCTTTCTTTAAATTAAGAGTTTTAATACACCATAATGATAAATGCTGTGAATCAGTTCCTCATTAAGTGCTTCTTCACCTTGTGAGGTCCTCTATGTCAACCAGCATGGCATCTTGCTCCATGTGTAGTTCATCCCGAATCAGCAGCAACTGTACAAGCTCCTCATTCAGACCTGGAGGGCAAGATAACGTGAAGAATTATATAAAAACACAGGTCTCACTATGACAAAGCAGGAATCATATTTACAATATGGAATTACTTTAAATCCCACAATGACCACAGTTGACCAAAACACATATTTTATTGTGAGCCACATCAATAGATGGACAATAAATCTACATGAATTACTGTACAGTATCTGACCATGTAAAATCTCCACTATGGGCTCATAAAATGACCCCACAAAGCCATCGAAAAACATTATCAGCAGACCACACATATCGGTGGTTGTGGTTCACATCACATGTTTCAACTATTGTTCCTTCAACTTTGCCAGACAATATGAAGCACTGACAGAAGAGCTTTTGAGGGGAAAGTCTGTGTTGTAAGTAAAAACTAGCTCATGATATTGGACTCATGGGGATTTTTGGAGCTTTTACTTAAGATGAGAGATTATTCATCCCTGAGTATCAGGATCAATGATCTGTA